CTTACGCATCGTTCCCCAACTACACTACAAACTTTGCCTTTTGACAAATTTCAGCTAAAATTTTTTGATGAATTTGTAAATAGAATTGTCTATTAAAACTGTCGCTAAAACGCGGTATTTTAAAAGTAAATAGTAATTTTATTACAAGAAAACATGAATACAGGTACAGCACGAGTATATGCAAACACTTTTTTATAGGTATATAAAAATTGATCAGTTGAAGACAATAATATTCGAAAATCTATTACTAAATATTATGAATTCCTATAAAAATTAAATACATTGTTTATTTAATTAATACATGTAGTTGGAAAACGCAAAATAATATATAAGCACATTAAAATAAATTCGTTGCATGTTTTGCAACAGTTTGAAAATAAAACCAAAGCTAAATAAATAATCAATACAAATCAAGTCAGTTCTTTTTTTAATTTTATTCGCTAGACGTTTCCTACGAAACAATAAATAGTACAAACGGAGAATCAGGTGATGTCACACAGAAGACGTTATTTTACACATAAGTTTTTACTTTTAAAAAGACGATTGAGCTGTTTCCTTTAAAAATCTGTACAATGTGTATAGGTTACTTAATTTAGTATATGGCTGACATGACTGTCAATACACTAAAACACTGGCTAAAATTAAATTCACGCCAGTTAAGAAATATAAAAAAAAATGTTATAACACAAAGCCAATAAAAATTAAGTTACCTAATAAAAACATCATAATATAATACAAATCGAAATAAAATCTTAAGATTACAAAGTGGAGTACATATTTGCTAAGTTAAAATCTAGATTAAAACTATTATATAAATAAACCACACACATTTTTATCGAACAGTCTTAATTTCAGTGTTTAAATTTTCTCTAATGGAGTCCAGAAAATTTGTCAATATTTTGTTCGTTAATAATTTATTCTATATAGGCTAGCGATGACGACGCCTCAATGAAAGTCCATGATCATAAACTAAAAAATGGAGCAAAAAAACATTAATGCAAGTGTTTACGTCACAGTTGTATTTTTTTTTTGTTTTTTGACAACACGGATATTCCAAAAAAATGATGAGATACAAAGTAGCCCACAGGAGTGGATAGTTATGTTATAGTGGTAATACACTATAACATAAATATATATCTCATTTCTATATATAAAAAAAGACTAATATTAGTCTTTTGTTTTATAAAAGAGGAGACAAACGAGCATGTGGCCCACCTGATGATAAGTGTCGACCGCCGCCCATGAACAACTGCAACAGCAGGGGAATCGCAGACCTCGCGGCTTGTGCGTTGCCGGCCTTTTAAAAGAGTAGGCTCTTTCCTTTAAGGTTTTTTTTTTATTCTATTACAGTCTATTAAAAGTCCAGTGAACATAGACCTCATAGGAAGAATATTAGTCATAGTTGCTCTGTCATGCTTGGCAGTCGGGTTGACAACTGCTGTTTCTCAGTATTTTCAACAGTTGTTAGGAAGATGTTCTATTCTATTCTATTCACGACACATGCAAGTTTTAAGTCACATTTCTGTGTATTTCATATTATCATGTTTGTATCTAAAAACTTATAGAGGGACAAAGTTGCCAGGGGGTGGATAATGACACAGTTTAAAGATAGTTGGAAAATGTACTTGTGCAGAGAAACGGTGGGTGCCTTGCGGGACAGGGAGCGGGCCGACCTTGTGCCAGCGCACTTCATTAAATCTGCTGGACAATACATATTATGGTTGACGCGAACGTGTTTTATAGTACTTATTTAACTAATGTTAAGCGCCTTTTTCGAAAAATATAATATCAATAATGGTGAATTACTGTTATATGAGTCACTAAGTAAAATTGAAATCAAATGACGGCTATGCTAATGTTTCCCTCGATTATTTTTTGTTTTAATTGTTTATCCGAATGTGAATTACATAATTAAATTAAACAATCGAAAACTGAAAAATCTATAATAGGAAAGTGTCACGAAAATATTTGGCAATGCAACACTTGTAAATGTATTTTTTCTTATACTATTAAAAATGATCTCGTTCAATTTTATTTTATTTTATAAGTATATACATAATGTTAACAAATGATAGGGAGTATAATAATATCCAAAATTATTTTATTCACAATTTCGTGACAGCCCCTAGCATATTTGCGACGACGCGACGGCGTAGATAGTAAATATCTACGCAAGCGACGGCATCGCCTGACATCAAAGGCGTTTCACAACTGTTAGCTCTTCTTTAAACTGTGATAATGACGTGATGTATTAGTGTATAATTACTCTAGAATAATAATATAATATATTTATACATAAAAATTATTTAAAAATACTTTTGCGCTTGTTAGGTTTTCATTTATTGCAGCGTCGTCAACGCTACCAATATAAAAGTCAATTGACGATACATCTAACATCTCAAAATTTCTTCTAACTAATCTAAAAATTAAGACTATTATAACATTAGTTGTTTAAAAGGTTAGCAAAACGTTACAACGAAAGATTAATATGGCAGTGTCCCTAAAAATTAAAAAAAACATAAACTTAATAAGCGTAGTGATCCTAAAAGGTATAAATTCACAAAAACTACTACATAAACGGGATTATGAACAAAAACGCATTAACCTACACTAAGTTACAAGAATAATATTTTCTAAATGTTAAAAATATAATATCAATATAGTACTATTATCCTACTTATTGGAACTGTTACTACTATCATCTTTCCTATACAGCTACAAACTGCACGGGAAAGATAAGACTGGCAATGCTTCTTGACATGATCGCCTCAAAAAGTTTCGAATACGATTAGCATTTAAAACTTTTATAATCTGTAATCCCAGTTGACAAAGGTAACGTCGTCTCTTTTATTTAATAAGGCAGTTGCTTCATTGTTTGAGTCGGGATAAAAATATCTACATAGTTACTATATTATTGCTGTTAGTTTCGTAATAACAAAAAGAAAACTGAAAATATTTTTTATAAATCGTCATCAATTAAGTTATGGCATGCGTTTTTATTGTGTTTGTTAGAATTGCCATATACGACAATAGTCATCGATGATTCTACTATCTATATTTTAAATAATTAATGTTTTATTTTAAATAACTAATCCTTTATTTACATCAGCACAGACACTCGTGATGTCATAAATGACATTCAAGTACCCCTTTCTATGTCTTGTAGACGTCATCGTTTTAACACTTAAGACACAGAAATATAAACATAAATGTATTGTACCCATTTAAATTTCACTTTTTACAAGATTATTACCCTATAAAAATACACTGCTCTCTATACTGGACTCGTGATTGGCCCGCAATACTTTTTTGGTTATAATTAAAAAAAAATACGAAATGATTGTTTTACAAAAATGTAGCACAGTGATAGAAATTATCAATTAAATAAATGCTTAGAAATGGTATTCATCCATTATACTGTAAAACAATCTGCCCAGATCTTTTAAAACCAACGTGGCAGGACTGAAAAGACATAGGTGGATAGCCGGGCTGCATAAAAGTTGAAGAATCGAGTTGTCGCGAGCTAGACAACTTAATGACAGCTGTAGCGCGGACTAATTTTCCCTATGGAAAATTGATGAAATCATCTTTCCTTATTTAGTTTTTCCCTGTTTCCTCCTCCGAAAATTGGCCCTAATTTAATTTTATACAGAACAATATCACAAACATTGTGTCTATGTAGGTTTTTCTTTTTTATGATCGTTAAATTTGTTTGCTGGATGTTTTATAGCAGCGGTACAACTAGGCAGTTTTTAAAATAATTTATATAATAAAAAAAACATAGGCACATGACAGGGATAGATATAGATTGTATCGTAAAAAAAAACAATTCTTTCATCATTCTCCATTCATTATCATTCATCATCAAGGGAGAACACAAAGGAATACGTTGGTGTGGGCTATAAGCCACCCGGATATCCTCTTAAACAGCAGTTCAAACTCTTATAAATGTCATAGATTAGTAAAGTGATATTAATAAATTACTAATTTCAAAATATTTTAACAAGAATGGACAATAGTATAGTATGATAGTTCAAGAAAATTAGTTTTAAAATCGTATTCCCTTATTTCCTAAATACTTTTTTATTATTTCTGTTATTACATAATATCTTACGGTTGTTGGAGCACATATATTCTAGAAAAGATAGTTACAAAAACATGATGTTTAGGAAGATCCATGGGGTCAAATAATAAGGTGTAATAAGTGAACGAAGTAGAAGCCTATATATACATATACATACATATATACCTAAGCCTATACATACATAGTATACATATTTTTCAACAATTATTTTTTAATATAATTTAAACTTTTTACCTAGCGGCAGGTTCAAGGTGGCCCTTGGCGTTACAAATTCATAAATACTTGTTAGGAATAAAGAAATATAATAAAAAAACTCCTAAATCATATATACCCTTGCACATTATTTGAAGTTTTTTATTATTAACAGCTTCGTTCAATTTTTTTAAATTAAATAGTTTAAAAAAAATCTATGCCATAGACTTCTCATTCTACTTTATTGACCTATCACACACATTTTATTTCCTTACGGTAAAATAGTCACCAGGTATAACCACCCTACTGTGACATTAAAATGTGATATTTTTGTAAGCAAAATTGTTGTTTTTCAGATCGGAACGTGTATATAATCACGGTGTCACTTATCCTGACTTTGTACATTTAGCACATAGAAATGTGCACTGAAAAATAACTATCTACGGAAGTATTATTGTGAAACTTTCTATCAAGTACCTTACTTGATTAGAATGGCTTCGCTCAAAAGATCTTTTCCACTATGTAGTATTACGTTAGCATCGCTGCGCTAAATATGCGAAGCGATGTAACGTCGCTTCGTCTGGTAATGCGAAGCGGAGCGAAATCGCTTCGCTTGGCAATCCGAAGCGGGGCGACGTCGCTTTGCTTGGTAATGCGAAGCGGGGTAAAGTGGGTTCGCTTAAAAGAGAGTGGCGAAGTATCTGTTCGGCGACGGGGCGGTGCGTCAGTCGTGCGGGCAGCTCTGCACGAAGGAAGCCGGGAACAGTCCGGTGCGTCCCGTTCGCTGTAAAGTGCCCTTGTACCAGCCGTCGCCGCGCTTACGAGACACCACAACAATATCGTCCACCTTCAGTTCCAACTCGTACTCGGAGTTCGGAGGATACGGCGCTATGCAGCGGAATCTGAAATGCGAGGAAATTTTAACTTTTTAAATCTAAATATATATCTGTATAATATCTGTAATAAAACGAATTTTACGGATTCGCCCATAGTCGCCGCCTACGACTGCGACTTCCGCTGTACGAAATAATGATCGATTGATTTTCTTAATATTGTCTTATATAATAATAATTGTACAATTATATTATCAACTAGCGAACCGTCCGGCTTCAGACGGTTGATTTGTGAATCTAAGCCACTCTCGAATCAATTTAATCACACAAAATTTTATCAAATTCGGTCCAACCGTTTATTAGGAATTTAGTCACAATTATATAAGAAAATATTTAGAAACAGCATGGTGGCGATCAACCTCATTCCCAGGAGTTATTATCAATCATGTACTTTTTTTTTATAGGTAACAAACGAGCACACAGTCAACCGGATGGTAAGTGGTTGCTGCGGCCCATAGACATCTACATCTATCCTCTATTACAAATCAAAATGTAGATGCGTTGTCACCCGTGAGGACTAAGATGGAATGCCTCATTTCCAGTAAAAAGGGCCACCGGCCACCTGCACTCACCAAGCGAAACGCAGAGGTAAACCTCTACTTCACGCTGGTTTTCTGTGAGGTCGTGGTACCACCCCGGCTCGAGCCGGCCCATCCGTGCGACAGCAAAAGCTGCCGCGTGGCTCTACCACTGTTAACTTATTACTATTATTTTTTACTATTATTTATTTATTATTATTTATTTACTATTATTTATTATTTTAATACTATAACAACACGCGTTAAAAAAATTAGCTTTTGAAACAAGGGAATTATTATAAAAGTTAAACAAAAGGACATAACATTAATACGACAATAACGGTAACTACCTCTCTTTAACAGGTTGCGAGTGATGTCTGTCCCGGCGGGCTACCGTCACGTCCAACGATTGCGACTTGCGATGCTGGCTCTGCCACGGACCTTCATTGCTCGCTCTGCGTATATATTTTCATTGTTTTTGAGTTCTTGGGCCCACGACTACTCATTAAAGTCAGTTGAATTGAGTAGTGTACACCATCATTAATACAATATTACAAAATATAATTTCAATTTGCTACTTTCGTGTTTTCTCAAAACTTGGTCGGATATAAGTTTTAAGTTAAATGACACTTCTATTCTTTAAAAATATACAGACATGATATTTAACTTAATTATAAGAAACTACCGTCGTAAAGTAATATATTGATTTTTTTAAAACTATGAAAGTTATGTACAAATAGTATATAATCACTAGGTTTTAATTATGTACAAACTACAATCATGATTATCTCATATTGTACGAAGCTTTCATGTAATATCTTCAAATTTCTATCACAAAGTTCGATACTAGATATGAGACATTCCATCTATTGTATCAGAGAGACAGAGATCACGAGCCACGGTGCCGCTAACAGTTAGCCTGTATGCTATTTGCACTTTTAATTACAATAAATCAGGTATTTAACCTTTTTTTAAATTGCCGAACACGGATTGTATCATTTACAAATTATACGGAATGTCTAAGTTATATAATCGGGGCAGGATTTAGAAAAAAAACTGCAATGTCTACGTTTGATTCTTAATAGGATCGAGGAGACTGTGTGGTGTCTCTTTGGGAGAAACAATGTTAAGAGCAGGTGCGATGATGATGATGATTTTACGAGTAAAATAGAATTTAACAACATTATTCTGACGTAAAAATAAAATAATTATAATACTTACCATACGATGTTTGTTTTTATTTTAAAAACGCAGTTGAAATTAGTGAATAAAGCATGCAGTGCAGAATTATGTCAAGCGTTATTTAAACAAGTGTATTCCATAGTGCGACTAATGCCCAAAAACTCAAATGCTGCTCAATTTTGACACGTTAAGTCTTGTGCTGTCTGTATAACATTAAGTCAAATCGACTGTGACACCACGAACTTAACGACGTCTTTAAATTGAGTAGTGGAGAGCGTTGGGCGGTGCGTGCTACGAATGTTTAGGCACACATTTATGCGACTGCTGTTGCGCTACTATACAAGATTGCTTTGTTGGTCTAAAGCACGTCGTCAAGCACGAAGAATTCCGTACAATGACCCGTTATTATTTATCTCTGTCGCACGTATTATCAACTAGCTATTCCCCGTGACTTCGCCTGCGTGGAATTTATTACGATTGGATTTTATGGGTGTTTTTTTTTCGCGGATTCCTAGTTTTTCCAAAATAGAAGTAGCCTATGTTACTCCTTATAACATTAGCTATCTGCCAGTGAAAATCCCGTCACAGAATAAATAATAGAGAAGGAGTTGCACTCCTTTGATGTTGGCTGCTTGTCGACGTTTTAATAGCCTACATAGTTATTATTAATCAGATACATCGCTCACGCGAGCTACATAAAACTTTATCGCTGCGCCCGAGTGTCCGTATTACTTTGCAACTTTTCTCATTCCTACGTCACAACAGACTTTCCGTGGTTACTAAGGGCTGTTAATAAAGAGTAAAAAAATATATTGTGAAATTGTAAGTAAGTTACTTAGGTACCTATTCTGACTATGATCGACCATATTTCCGCTACTATGTGAGTTCTGTGATGCCCAACGCACGCAACTTGCAAGGCCATTCGTCGGTAATCGCCATGCTTGGCTCGTAGTGTAAACAAGAAATAAACCCGAAATACGATTCCTAACAGAAATGTGATCGTATTCTACTTAGTTAAAAATCTTATAAACAAAGTTTTAATTTCAGTATTTTGTGCTATTATAACTTAAAATATTTTAATTACAAAAGACAAATTATATGTATGTAAGTAATGTACTGAAGTAAATTTCAACTAAGTTTTGTAATAAAGTACTTAGGTACTACTTCTGTAGTTAAATTATTACTTAAATTTTTTTCGATATAAGTGCCTATCTAACAAAAAAAAACACCTTTGATTAGGTTTAGGTTTAAAGAAACTATATTCTCAATATGTGACTCGAGAACATCGGTTACAAACTAGATATACCCATTTAATGCCTTCATTTCTCCAGAAGTGATCGATCCGTAATTATATACTGATTAAATTGAGTTTTGAATACATTGAAAGTGTAAAATTTTATACTAGAGGGTATGGTATTCTATTATAAAGTTGTGCTCCTTCAAAAGTTAGCATTTTTTTTGCCATAGATAGTTCTAGTTTTGGGTAAGACTACTAAGCTAGCTAGTCGTGTACTACGTTGGCTGATTTGTTTATATTGGGTGAGTGTTATGTTTGTGTGAATATTTTTGGTAAGGATTTTTCTCATGATAATACATGTGTGGTAAATATATAAATGGTCGTGTTCGACTGCCGTCCCATCGAACTATGAAAGTGAAGGAATGGAAAGTACACCACATAAACTTGTGCACTATCATTGAGTTATATGTACTACGTACTAGAGAAGTCTTTCTAAACAAAAAATGTGCAATACTCTATGTCTTATACTATCCTGCGCAGATGGCTAGTCTCCGTTGAGACTGGACGCCGTGACCGAAATTCGGTATAAGACCTTACTATATATGAGCGCTATAACGCTGAACGCCCCGCCCCACAGCACGCTAGCCTTTAAGTTTCTACATAAAGGCCTTCGGAGTGTTGGGTGTATATGATAAACATAAGGTCTGTTATTAGTGTTGTAAGTGGTGAATGCTAAAAATGTTTGCCAAACACCTTGCTCAACGCTCTCTATTGAGACTTTAAGCTACGGCCTGCGTGATAACTTCCTTAAATGCTAGCAGTAACACATGCTTCAAACACACAAACAAATGCATGAGACAAATACACGAAATAAACAAAAGCCGAAAGTATGTACATTTTTACATTTATTATTAGATAAACTATCAACATTAATTCACCACCCCATATCATCATCGGAAATGAAACAGCAAATAGGCAGAAACATATTCCAAATAACAAGTCCAAATTATGAAAACTACAGTTGGAAACCAGCCTGTCAATAACCCCCCCCCCCCCCTCCCCCCCAAGGCAATCTATGGAGGAGGCCTAAGTAAAGCAGTGGATTTTTTATAGGCTGTAATTATGATGATGATGATGATGATTGGATAAACGAAATTCAAAAGAATGTAAACTTCTTTGACATTTAAATTATAAGCGTATAGAGATGACTCGTCATATTTGACAAACGACTTGGCGAATGTAGTGCCAAAGGACTGTCAGCACCATCACTCTCACCCTTGCCCTTGCCACCTTGCCATTAATGATGCATTTATGATTTACTGGTGCATAGTTAGAAGAATTATAAATATTAAAGCATAAGTCAGTTTCCCATAGTCATCGCATTGATGAGGAAAAAATAGGGTTATGTTATGTTCTCTTATGTCGTTACGACACGGCAACTAACTTAACACCCTTGCCCTTGCCACCTTGCCATTAATGATGCATTTATGATTTACTGGTGCATAGTTAGAAGAATTATAAATATTAAAGCATAAGTCAGTTTCCCATAGTCATCGCATTGATGAGGAAAAAATAGGGTTATGTTATGTTCTCTTATGTCGTTACGACACGGCAACTAACTTAAAAAACTGTCCCCCTTACACCCCCATTAGATAAATCTAAGATATTCGAATCCTTTCATATTTGACGAATCGAGCTAAGGAGTGTTGCAGGATAATAAAATTAATCATATTTTACACACCAATAAGTTACAAAAATCAAAAATATTAAACATGCAAAAATATTTTGATGTTAATTTGCATAGGAATAGCATCAACATGTATTAATAAAGCACATACGTATTCGTTTTAGCTCGGGACTTTCACAAGGAGCGTTCGGAACTATCGATGAAATTTCGTTCAATTATAAACTTTAACACCATAAGATTTAGAATGAAAGTGTAGCCTAGCGTAGACTGCTCGAAACTATGATGCTTATTACATTTTAGTTTGAATTGTCCATTGATAATTCAGATTCATTCTCTATTTTTGAAGTTACATCCGGCCATATTGATGGATGTATTAATGTAAGCGTATATTTTGTAAGATGTTAAGTATTTGGAATTTTATTAGCTTATTAATTTAAGACGATTGCGATTTATCTAAGGCTAAACTAGAAAAAAAAAATACAAAATATCATGCACAAATATTTTTTTGTCACGTATTCATATGATTTACGATTTAATTTTTTCACAAATCTTTTACAATCTAAAGTATTATACTTAGTAAGAACGATGGAGACAAATATTTTTTGTCACCCCATCAATCATTTAAAATCGCGTTACCAGCAACATCTGCTTTAAGATTAAAACAACTAAGATTTTCAGATTCCCGTTACAATTAAAACAATATATCGCCTAAAAAGTTTCCAAGTTTCCCGAAGGGTCTGAAAAGTTCCCGATAGTCCGATGTGAAAGGTCCGTCCGTAGTGCATTAGTGGCGAACCTGTGCAGGCGTTGGTCGTGCAGTGCGAGCAGTGCAGCACGTTCTTTCTGTCTCGCTCGCTCCCCCGCCCCCGCTGCCCCCGCCGCCCCCGCGGGACCCGGCAGCGTCCGAAGGAGCTGCGACGGACACGAACCAGACCTGCGTTGTCGCCATACAAACAACCCTTGTACCCTTTTCTATCAAATAACATTCACGCTTCCAATAATTTTGTGATGAAACAAATGTTTGTGTTCACCGTTGAGTTCGCATTTCCTGTAAAACTAAGCACGATCTATACTGAATCAAAAAACTTTGTAATGTTTTGTTACCTTGAAATACTGAGCACCAACTATACCATACGCACGAGTGAAAAGTTTAAGAAAAAAAGGGTAGTATTCAACATGGAAGTCCTGAATTACGGGCTCTATACCACAGCTAAGGATGAAAACGAAGTTTAATAAAACGAAAAATGAGCTTTCTTTGGAGCTAAACAGAAAAAAACGAATATTCAAAAAGTTCAAATGCAAGCACACACACACGTTCATAAACTTACTTCTATTATAAATATTACATTATTTTACAAGTCTTTTTGAAATTAATGCTAAACGATGGCATTTTCTCACTGCGAATGGACAAAAAAGAAGTACGATACGATACTATTATCAAAGGATTTCTCTTTACGCTTACAACTCCAAGCTAACGTAATACTGTATATAAAGTTTTGCATAAAAACTTTGATAATATATGGAAGAAGCAAAACTTCAATGACGTGGAAGACAATGGAAATGCCTATATTAAATAGAAATAATAAAATATTCTCTGATCAAAATATATTTCGTAATATTCGCCCTTTCAAAATACTCCACAAAAAATACTAATAATAATAAAATACAAAATTAAAACATTCTTCGCCACTTATGTACGAAAACGAAATTTAAAACTCATACATTGCCATCTAATTTTTAGGTTATAAACTGAACTACTAGGAACTATAGGAAAACTTGTGCAATGAATTTGTTTATACACTTGGGGATAGGGACAAAGATTAATGGAATGTGCGAACTATAGGGAGGTTTAACTCTATTTATAATCACCCCATTTTAAGAGGAAAACATTACAAATGTTGGGTGAATCATGTGCTGCGGTATGGTAACTCTACTGACTAGATCCATTCATTAGTTAGTCGTTCCGTTGAATCACACAAATGCAAATAATGTTGATGAGTGCTGTGAGCTGCTTGATACGTATCATTTTAGATGCAAGGAAATCGTTTAATATATTCGAGATAAAATAAATTGCAATTGAATAAAAAAAATTGGTTGATAGTAAACTTATACTCATTTATATCTAAAAATATTTTCATTCTAATTGTCATTACATCTGAAATGACACAAACACAGTGTTACACAAACGCATGCCCGTAAACACATTTTGCGCACACAATGACTTATGAATTGTTAACATAAACAAGATTTACTGTGTTGTAGTGCTATTAGACAATTAGAATATATCATATTAGTAAATAACTCATATATTATTATCACTTATTTGTGTTAAACATGAATACGGGCAGATTTAAAAATCGGTCACTTATTGCAATCACTCAGATTTAAGAACTATTTTTTTTTCTTAATATAATAAATAGACTAATAATAAAGTACGGTCAGCAAATCATTCTACAAAGTGACAGAAAATTATTTTGTATTATTTTGTGTGCATGAGTGAAAAATATTCATAATTAATATAAAAAGTGCGTCTTACCGCACATGCACGGGATGTGGAGGGGGCGCGGCCAGCGAAGGCCCGGGCCCGTCCTCGAACACTGGGTTGTCCATACTGTAGCCCACTGGAGGGGGTGATTTACATTTCTTCATCGCCGCTAGCCTTTTCATGAGACTCACTCCCGTTGATATCGAGGACTTCTCCGCTTTCGCTTTTTCTTTTGACTGGAATTATCATAATTTTTTACAATATTTCCATGCCGTCATTTCGTTAATTGAATATGTTCTTATATGTTTTTTTGTTGTTATATGTTCTATATATATATATATATATATATATGTGTGTGTGTGTGTGTGTGTGTGTGTGTGTGTGTGTGTGTGTGTGTGTGTGTGTGTGTGTGTGTGTGTGTGTGTGTGTGTGTGTGTGTGTACATGTACTAAGAGCAAATAAAGATATTCATTTTATGTGTATAATACAAGCATGAAGTAAAATAAAATAATGTAGAAGAACAAATAATGGGTCTATTATTAAGCTTCTCTTTTCATTTTTCTACAGACTTCAAAATGGTGTAGGTACACAATTCAACTGTCTGTTCCTTTTTCTTTTGTGTGTTATTACCTCATAACTTTTTTCTGTGTGAACGGATTTCGATGATTCTTTTTTATTTGAATGCTGGTGCTTTTTATGTGGTCCCATATAAATTTGATCAAGGTCTGGGCAATAGTTTTTGGAATTATTCTTAATAATTTATATTGAAGTCGGTTGTACAAAATGTTTAATTTTAAATTATGTTAAAGTTAAGTTCCGTAGTTTCATTTTCATGTTTCTTAAAAAGAAATAAGATAGTCCATCGCGAATATGTAATCAACTATCGCAAATTATTTAATTATATATATTAATTACTAGCTGTCCTCGCGACTTCGCCCGCGTGGTTTTTTGGTCTTTTAATTTTTTTGCGCGGAACCCTAATTCTTTTTCTGATATAAAAGTAGCCTAAGTTACTCCTCGTGACATCAGCTATCTGCCAGTGAAAATCCTGTCAAAATCAGTCCAGTCGTTTCGTAGATTAGCCCGAACAAACAGACAGACGGACAGACAGACGGACAGACAGACAGACAGACAAAAACTTTAAAAATTATATTTTTGTTATTAGTACCGTATATACTTTAATATGCATTTAGTAAAAAGCTGTAATTTTGACATTACAAACAGACACTTCAATTTTATTTATTTGTATAGATATAGATGAGATTGTATTTCATTTGACATCTCCCCGTAATAGGCATGCCGCGCACTAGGCAGCCTGGCTGCGCAGCCAGGCTGCGGCGGCCGAAATATTTGAGCAGCCACTTCAGGCAGCCTGGCTGCGCAGCCAGGCTGCGGCGGCCGAAATATTTGAGCAGCCACTTCAGGCAGCCTGGCTGCGCAGCCAGGCTGCGGCGGCCGTAATATTTGAGCAGCCACTTCAGGCAGCCTGGCTGCGCAGCCAGGCTGCGGCGGCCGAAATATTTGAGCAGCCACTTCAGGCAGCCTGGCTGCGCAGCCAGGCTGCGGCGGCCGAAATATTTGAGCAGCCACTTCAGGCAGCCTGGCTGCGCAGCCAGGCTGCGGCGGCCGTAATATTTGAGCAGCCACTTCAGGCAGCCTGGCTGCGCAGCCAGGCTGCGGCGGCCGAAATATTTGAGCAGCCACTTCAGGCAGCCTGGCTGCGCAGCCAGGCTGCGGCGGCCGAAATATTTGAACAGCCACTTCAGGCAGCCTGGCTGCGCAGCTAGGCTGCGGCGGCCGAAATATTTGAGCAGCCACTTCAGGCAGCCTGGCTGCGCAGCCAGGCTGCGGCGGCCGTAATATTTGAGCAGCCACTTCAGGCAGCCTGGCTGCGCAGCCAGGCTGCGGCGGCCGTAATATTTGAGCAGCCACTTCAGGCAGCCTGGCTGCGCAGCCAGGCTGCGGCGGCCGAAATATTTGAGCAGCCACTTCAGGCAGCCTGGCTGCGCAGCCAGGCTGCGGCGGCCGAAATATTTGAGCAGCCACTTCAGGCAGCCTGGCTGCGCAGCCAGGCTGCGGCGGCCGTAATATTTGAGCAGCCACTTCAGGCAGCCTGGCTGCGCAGCCAGGCTGCGGCGGCCGAAATATTTGAGCAGCCACTTCAGGCAGCCTGGCTGCGCAGCCAGGCTGCGGCGGCCGAAATATTTGAGCAGCCACTTCAGGCAGCCTGGCTGCGCAGCCAGGCTGCGGCGGCCGTAATATTTGAGCAGCCACTTCAGGCAGCCTGGCTGCGCAGCCAGGCTGCGGCGGCCGAAATATTTGAGCAGCCACTTCAGGCAGCCTGGCTGCGCAGCCAGGCTGCGGCGGCCGTAATATTTGAGCAGCCACTTCAGGCAGCCTGGCTGCGCAGCCAGGCTGCGGCGGCCGTAATATTTGAGCAGCCACTTCAGGCAGCCTGGCTGCGCAGCCAGGCTGCGGCGGCCGTAATATTTGAGCAGCCACTTCAGGCAGCCTGGCTGCGCAGCCTGGCTGCGCAGCCAGGCTGCGGCGGCCGAAATATTTGAGCAGCCACTTCAGGCAGCCTGGCTGCGCAGCCAGGCTGCGGCGGCCGTAATATTTGAGCAGCCACTTCAGGCAGCCTGGCTGCGCAGCCAGGCTGCGGCGGCCGAAATATTTGAGCAGCCACTTCAGGCAGCCTGGCTGCGCAGCCAGGCTGCGGCGGCCGTAATATTTGAGCAGCCACTTCAGGCAGCCTGGCTGCGCAGCCAGGCTGCGGCGGCCGTAATATTTGAGCAGCCACTTCAGGCAGCCTGGCTGCGGCGGCCGAAATATTTGAGCAGCCACTTCAGGCAGCCTGGCTGCGCAGCCAGGCTGCGGCGGCCGTAATATTTGAGCAGCCACTTCAGGCAGCCTGGCTGCGCAGCCAGGCTGCGGCGGCCGTAATATTTGAGCAGCCACTTCAGGCAGCCTGGCTGCGCAGCCAGGCTGCGGCGGCCGAAATATTTGAGCAGCCACTTCAGGCAGCCTGGCTGCGCAGCCAGGCTGCGGCGGCCGTAATATTTGAGCAGCCACTTCAGGCAGCCTGGCTGCGCAGCCAGGCTGCGGCGGCCGAAATATTTGAGCAGCCACTTCAGGCAGCCTGGCTGCGCAGCCAGGCTGCGGCGGCCGTAATATTTGACAGCCAATGAACAGCCAGTTGCGATCCTTTTTTCGAGGGATATGGACGTGGAAGAACTTGTAATTTTGTGCGTATCTCGTAAAAAACGCAAAGTTAAAAGACATTGGATTCATCCTCTTTTTCTAGAACGGCACTCAAAAGGCTTATTTTATACCTATTTTAAAGATGTTCGTAAATACCCAGACCGGTTTTTAACTACACGAGAATGTCAGTGCAATCATTTGATAACCTTTTGGAAAATATAATAAATTCAATCAAGGGCACTGATACTCCTATGCGAGCTTGTATAACTAAAAATTGGTGATTACATTGAGGTAAGTGCTAAAATAAAAAATACTGTTACTTGTTTATAACATTTATTCTTTATTTCTTACATTTATGGTAAAGAATTTTCCTGAAATAGTTCAAGTAATTCAGAATTCTGAGACGTATCTGTTACATTTGTGTCAGATGGAGATAACACCTCAGTATATCCGGTATTGTCTTGCTTGTCTGGAACAGACGTAGAATATGCACGGCGGCTTTCACTGCTCGAGGCTTCTGGCCCATAATTTGACTGTGTCGAGTATCCATGGCGATATTGCCCACTGCTCGAGATTTCCGGCCTATATTCAGTTGAGTATTCATGGCGATATTGCCTACTGCTCGAGTTTCCCGGTCCATATTCAGTCGAGTATCCATGGCGATACTGTCCACTAACCGATGTTTCTGGTCTAAATAATCTGGCGGTTGATGTCCCTGGTTCATAATCAACATGACCTTGGCGAAACACACCAAATTCGGAATTGTAAGTTTCCATAAAAGGCATTTGAGCTCTTTTTATTACGTCAATTAACTCCATTCTCGTAGAAAGTTTACGATGTTTCGGAATGTTTTTAAAATCTTCTAGAAGCGAAAGCATAAATAGTCTATCTGAATCAGATTCTTGCTTTCTTTCACGCTCTTCTCTTATTGCGATACTTTCCTTTAATACTTGAACCAAATTTTCGTCGTCACATGTCTTCTTCTTTTTGGAAACGGGTCGTTTACCTTGAATACAATCGCTGTCATCGTTGGTTTCCGCGGGGCGTGTTTCACCCATGCTATTTTGAGTTTCATTATTTATTACAGTGGCCTTAAGAAACTGTAGTTGTTCGAAATATACGTAAGGACTCTTACGCGAAGCTGCTGCTCCACTTTTAGCACCGGCTCTGCGTTTTATTTCCCTGCTGTAACTAGTCCTGATGTTCTTCCACTTTTGCTGTAGAGATTTACCTGAAAATTAATATAAGTACTTTATTACAGATATCTTGCTACAGGCTGTTCTATGATGGAAATCAGCCATAATTTTCGGATTGGACATACCACTGTCCGAGATGTCATATATCAAATTTGCATGGCGATTTGGGAGAACATGAGACAGTCAACGTTTCCAGAATTAAATGAAGAAAGGTGGCTTGAAATAGCAAAAGGTTTCAATGAAAATGCAAACTATCCCAATTGTATTGGTGCCATCGACGGGAAGCATATAAGAGTAATTAAACCCAGCAACTCAGGATCACTTTATTATAATTATAAGAATTATTTCTCAATCGTTTTACTTGCTGTATGCGATGCGGATTATAAGTTCACATATATAGATATTGGGGCATATGGAAAATGTAGTGACTCATCTATATTTAAACAATCTATTTTGTATCAAAAAGTCGTCAATAAAGATATACGAATCCCGGAGAAGAGCCCCATATCAAATAATGGTGTACCGATGCCATACGTCATTGTGGGAGATGAGGCATTTGGTTTATCTGAAAATTTAATGCGACCTTATGGAGGAAGGGGTTTAACAGCCAAAAAAAGAATCTTTAACTATAGACTGTCTCGGGTAAGGCGGCACATAGAATGCACGTTTGGGATTCTGGCAAACAAATGGAGAATTTTTCACCGTCCACTGGATGTCCGACAAGAATTTGCAATTGCCATAGTACAAGCATGCTGTGTCTTACATAATTACGTGCGCGAAAGAGATGGTTATAGATTTAAAGACACACTGTACGTTCCTCCAGACCTCGAAATAACCCCAGGTCCCTTAAATAGAGGGAGCCGATCATCAGTATCTTATAGAGATTTATTTGCGGATTATTTTATCAATGAAAATCCGCTAGAATGGCAAAACAAATATGCATTGGGATAGTAGGTACCTACCTACTCTATACTTTTAAGTGTATAAACTAAACTAAAAATATATCCATAGAATAATAAAATACTAACTAATAAAAAATATAACGTACCAAATTCACTTTTTTCATTTGCTGTTAAATTGTCCTCGCACATTATATTTGTGATTTCTTCCCATTTTCTTTTCTTTACATCACGATCACTGTATTCTTCTGAAGATATATCCCATATTGCTTTACGGTTTTCAATTTCGCGAATAAATTTCTCCGTATCCAAAGTCATTTTGTGATTTCAGAAAACAAAATACGTCTGGCTGCTACGTCAAGTGCGCGGTGACTGACGGCAGCCACATACATTCGCCCTACTCGCTCTGGCTGCGCGCAGCCAACGGGCTGCCGTGCAATCGGGCGCGTTTTTATGGCTGCCGAAGCCGGGAGTTCGTGGCTGCTTAGTGCGCGGGCTCCCATACACCGTCATATGTTCGACTGGCTGCCTAGTGCGCGGGGGGGCATAATGTTAACACTTTCAGTATCAGATCACTTAAGTCTTTACATCTATCAAAAAAATTGAGTGAATTAGTCAATAGTGACGATGATCTTACCAATAGTGTCATTCAAGTCAGAAAGTTATTAAAAATAATACAATATTATAAGCTATTTTTACCTTCTCCTTTTCTGCTCTTGGTGTACTTTGTTGCGACTGTGTGGCTTGCGTACTCCATGGATAAGTGAGAGGTTGGGCTGGAAACAAGAGTTAGAGTAATATATAGATGTATTTTAAGAATATTTTGAAGATTTCAAAGATACATAATAGACAAAAGTAAAAAGTATAATCACTTATGGCGGAGGCCCATGTCCAGTGTACTTACTGATTTTATATTGATAAAAACGGTAAAACTTACCGGTAGTAGGGCTGGGAGCTCTCGGTGGGGCATCGGGGGGCGCTTGTGTGTTCTTTGTACTCGAGGAGACCGTCGTCTGCAATAAACATTTTCATTATATTATGCCGATTTTTTGACTGATTCTTGACTTCGGCGACAAATTCCGATTTATCGGAAACTGTCTATGCGGCTGCCAGCATATACATAAACACAAAGGCACTCATTACTTTTGGCATACCCATAACCATAACGTTATTGAAGTGACAAACGAACTTACAGTTTACCTGGTAGTAAATAGCTACTGTAGTCTATGGACATCTGCAGACAACGGTGCGTGGGTGCGCGTGCGCGTGTGCGCGTGTACGTGTGGAGGGTGCGGGGGGTGCGTGTGTGTGTGTGTGTGTGTGTATGTGTGTTCGTGTGCGTGTGTGTATCTTTTTTTAACTGTTATCGAGGCATTCCATTTTAAGTCTAAGGGGTGACAACGCATCTACATTTTCATTCTAAATTAAGGATAAATGTAATGTTTGTGAGCCACAGCATGCACTTACCGTCAGGTGGACTATGTGCTCGTTTGTCACCCTAATTCTATACTATAAAAAAATGAAATTTGGCAAATTCGAATTGAATCACCGAATAGAATACGTAGTTTCAGGAACATGGCGGCAAATACAAGGAGGGGAATTTAAACGTGGTAGAGCCATGCCTCACTTCATTATGTAGCATAAATGAGCCAGCTCGACTCTTAACACTAGCAAGCAGGAAAAATAGCTAACCTAAAAAGGCGGCCAAGGGTCATTTGCCCCAATCACTGATACCTAGTCTCTAACTATGCATATTTGTGTAGTGTAATTGTAGAAATAGTAGAAAACATTCATTGTTACAAAGGCAAATGAAATAGTTTTGGTTTCTAGCGTAAATATATGTTTAATAAAAAAGTTATTTACAGCTATGACATATGCATATTTTTGATAGATTGCATCAGGCACATAGTGGTTATTGCACAAGTCACACACTTTATTAGTCTTATTTTACAATGAGGTTGATAGCAAATACACCTCTTCCTCAACTCAGCTGCTTGCATTTTTGAGGCGATAAAACGTTGCAGTGAGGTTTCACGAGTGAGTTCTTCTAAAATGTTACCCAGTTCAACCGCCAATTGCAGAATAAATTATCTTCTTCGTATTTTCTTGTTGTTTATTTCTTGGTACAACACCAAGGCATTTATTGCAGATAAATATAAAATATTATATAACACTTGTACCGGCCATCTTATAGAAGGTGCTTTTGTGCTGTGTCTTCTCCATTTGATCGACCACGTCAACACCATATTTAGTGACATCCTATTATTTTGAGAGGTATTTCCATAAAATGTTGTTCGAACGTCACGTACTCTCCCGTCGCAGAGAAAATCTTTCCCTAGTTTGTTGTTAAATGGTAGTCAACGGTATGTTGCTGTCTGAATCTTCACTAGAACTTGATTCAATTTCTGGTGGTAATGAGACACCTTCAACTTTACTATCCGATTGATCTTCTGGCAGCGATTATAATAATAGAATACGGACGGCTCCGTGGCGCAGTGGCTTAGCAATCAGTTATTGCGCTGGGGGCCGCGGGTTCGAATCCTGCACGGTACAAGTATTTGTATGGCCTACAAATAATTGTTTCGGGTCTGGATGTTTGTTCTTGTGCAATTTATGTTTGTAAACTGCCTCCACGACACAGGAGAAAATCCTAGTGTGGGGGTAACGTTTTTAAAAAAAAAATAAAAAAAGAATAGAATAGAATAATTTTTATTCAATATTGATTATTACACAATACTTATTGAAAGTCATTTTTTATTTACCACTAATATCAATATTTCTGCAATTGACAACACTGAAATTGACTCAATGAGAAGGCGTAGAGTAACGAACGTATAAATAAATATATTTAGGTACGTGGTAAAAAAAGACCAGGCAATAAAATTAAGGTAAATATAATTAATTATCCTACTCACAACAGCAATGCGTTCTTCTATTGAATAGGTCCAATGACCCTAGTCGTCATTGTATGTGAATGTTATTTTTATTCATATTTGTATAAACATATTACAATGTAAATACTTTTATTTATAAAACAATCGTAATTCATTAAAAGTCACGAAGTACAAAACTGTACAAACAAACAGTAACAAAAGAATCAGCCCTGCAGTTCAAATATGGGTCAAAAGACCCTTGCCGCCTTGCTAGTGGTAAGGGATCATGCTCTGACATATAACTAGCGTGAAATAACAGCATAATGTTGCTGTTTCATATGACAATGACAACTGAAGGTTCAATTTATTAGTAACATGCATTTCGTCATATTTCTTAGGGGTAAGGATGCATCTGCATGTTCATTCTTAATCAATGAAAGAAATATGGACCTCAGCATCCAGTTACCATCAGGTGGACTGTGTGGTTGTTTATTATACCTACTGCTATTAAAAGCGGTCGCGATTAAGTTTGAATCGAGTAATACAACGGGAGAGATCCAAGTGCGGTTAAACATTCAGACCTGGAACAATAATTTCTAAGATATAAAAATTATACACTTGTTCCGTGCGAGAGTTCCGACTCAGTGTTGTATCTGATTGCGAAGTCACTGCGCCACGGAGCCGTCTAGTTTGTGCTGTAAAAAAGGAGTGTTCAATAATGAACGTTATAACAAGCGCTGCAAGGGCGTTAATACCTTGTCCTTGGTGCGCGCGTGCAGCTGGTGCGCGGGGGTGGGTGCGGGGGCGGGCGCGGGCGCGGGCGCCACGTAGTTGCCGGGGAACACGCCGCAGCGCTGCGCGCGCTCCGAGTAGCCCTTGTACCAGCCGTCGCGGCAGCGCTCCGTCACCGTGTACACTCCTGCAAGAGGACACACGCGGTAACTACAACCAATCGGTACAACCACTCCTACATGCTTCAATCATTTTCATTCCAATGCGATTCAACTAAAAATAAGTACATAAAATTTGTCATCATGACGACGATGATGTTTTATTATAAGTGAAGCTCACTAGACATGTGTCAATCGTGAATGATTCCATCATTAGAGTTTTGTCAAATGATTGACAAAACTTATGAGCAGAGTTTCGTTTTTATATATAAAAAGGGCAAATGAGCATGCGACTCAACTGCTGGTAAGTGACTACCGCCGCCTATAAACAACTGTAACAACATAGGAATTGCAGATGCGTTCTCGGCCTTTTAACAAAGAAGTAGGCTCTTTTATTGAAAGGTCCCCTAATCGTATCGGTCTTGAAAAATCGCTGGAGGTAGTCGATTCCACAAGGAAGTTGTGCGAGGAAGAAAACTCGTACAAGGAGAAACAAATATACAAAGATAAAAATATAATAATGTCCGAGATATTATCAAGCGAGTCTCACAGATCACAAAGACTCGAAATTATCCCTTTGAATAATCGACCCGAATGAGCCGTTTAGAAATGAATGAATGACATAATGATTTTTTATATTTACGCGAACACTACATTACACTATGATTCTATGAGTCATACTGCATAGATCGGAACAAAAATTAATAATTTTTAATCTAGAGGTACCCGTGGTCAACTATGACATTGGGACGTCATACACCTCAGTACCCCCGTGACCATGGGTGCTGTAAAATGCTCGAAACGTCGGGAATATAAAATAAGTGAATATACGCGATAAAATCCGTAAAATTAGTTTTATTTAAGTATGAATGACATGTGTAATTGGTACCTCCTTTCTTGAGCTCGAGCTCGTCGGGCTTCTGCGGCTTGTAGGGGTAGAGCGCGACGTAGGCGGCGGGCAGCGGCCGCTCGCTGCTGCGCGAGCGCCGCCGCCGCCGCTCGCCCTCTCGCTCGCACCGCTTCCTGTCTCTGTCTCGCTCTGGCGCCTGGTCCAACAGGCTCGTCGCTAGGATTTCGGCAGAGTGCCTGAAAAGACAAACATTTGCTCGATAAAATAACCGTTACAGCCTTCAAATTCCATTGCTAAACATAAGCCTCCTCCATGGCTTGCTTCATAGGGGGCGATTTTTGCCACAGTTACCAAGCTGAGCAAGCGGGTCGACAAGAACAGCTTTTTATTTTTAATTGTTATCCAGAAGACACGCTGCTGCTGCCCATCTACTGCTTTGTTTTTCTTCATTGTCTCTTACCGCCCCTATATAGTAATGTTTCTTTGGAAGATTCCTACCATGACAGCTTTCAAATAGACGCAAGTTATCAAGCGCAGGATTGGTGCCGTAAAATACAAATTAAGCAGTGGTCGCTCGCTAGTCATCTATACATCTATACAAATAAAAAAAAATTGAAGTGTCTGTTTGTAATGTCAAAATTACAGCTTTTCACTAAATACATATGAAATTATATATGATTCTTATATCAAAAACACATTTTTTAAATTTTTGTCTGTCTGTCTGTTTGTTCCAGCTAATCCCTAAAACGGCTGGACTGATTTTGACGAGACTTTCACTGGCAGATAGCTGATGTCATAAGAAGTAACTAAGGCTACTTTTATTTTAGAAAAAGAATTAGGGTTCCGCGCAAAAAAATACTAAAACCCTAAATAACACGCGGGCGAAGTCGCGAGGAACAGCTAGTTATTTATAAATTAAGATATATAATTACTTAAATTTGTTACTTTTAAAAGTAACTCAGAATTTAGTCAGTTTCCGTGTAAAATTAATTTTCATTATTTAAAATCAATATACGGAGTGACGAAAAAGTTATCACATAAAATGAAAAGACGCATGCTACATAAATTTCTTTAAACATACACAACTAAAAAAATATATAACAATTAATACATTAGCCGTGGTAGCATTTTTTTCGTTTCAATATTAAATAACATCATGTAAATGCATACAGATATCACCTGATGAATTCTAGAAGGTCAAAGACCCATGCCATTTCAAGGCGAATATAGGTAGTTTAAAGGTTATCAAACCTAACTACTCAAATAAAGAAAAAATCAAACAAAAACTGCACTTACGGCTAACAATTTAAGGCATAATTTTATGCGCGAAATTAAAAACAAAGGGAACGCACGCTGCAGGCGTATGAAAACAAAGTCAAGCGAAAAATTTACTTAAAATAATGAAGTTAAGGCATAATTCTCTACGCGCAAAGTGACAAGAAATGGGATCGGGTGTTAATATAAATTATTATTTTTCTGGCGCGTGCGACGTTTTGTAAGTCACTTCAGGTCAGTAACCTATATATCAAGGCTGATTTATTTCTTGTCAATATTTCACCCTATTTATTTTGTTTGAAAAATGCATTTTTTATTTTCTTTTATTATTGTTTATTTTATTATTTTAACAGACATATATCAACTTGTATTAACTGCTGTGCTATTTAACGTGATAACCTCGGCGCCACCCAGTATATATATATATATATATATATATATATATATATATATATATATATATATATATATATATATATATATATGTATATATATATATATATTTCTGTCGTCAAGAACGCCAGAAGGCGATAAATCAGGAAATGGGCAGCAACATTTTTCTAATATCAATTCAAAATAATAAAAAGTACGATTGACAACCCACTTGTCAAGCATGGCAAATTTAGCAAATATCACCTATAAGGCACAATCTATAACCAGCAGTGGATTTTTGATAGGTTGTGCCAAAAAAATATGCAGACGCGTATTAAATTGTCTTACCTATTCTGTGGCATGTGGTTCCCTTGTAAATGAGTTGACGGCGTCAGACTGTGCCTTTTTTCTTTTTCTCTGTGGTGATGGTCTCTATGAGATCTGGATATATAGTTCCCATCCTTGCCGTGAGATGGCGATAGCGCCGCTTGTAAACCTAACCCGAAGTTCAACAACGAATCCGGTCCACTAGATCGCATCACGTTCTTTGACGATGAAGGAACGTCGAGTCGGGAAGTATCATTATTGCTTACACCTTCCTGGGTATCGCTTTGATTCTGCGAACTGTTGCTAATAGCGGACGCGTTCAATTTTGAACTCTCCGACGGCGGTAATGTCACATTCAAAGATGTATTAGTAGCTGTAGAACTCTCATTTAGACTTAACACTCCTATAGATGTGTTTAGCGAGGTTTCAGCGTCTTGATCTTCATTGTTCATTTCAGTTGTGGGATTTTGAGCCGTATTTGCAGTGCACACGGTCGCGTTTTGCTCGGTATTGTTATCTGGTGAACTGGGCATACTCGGCTCGGCGCTTTCGCTGGTACTTGTGCTAGAACTAGTGTCGGGAGTGGTCGTCGAACTGACTCCCACCGAGGGCGTATTCATACTCGAACTTGAGTCCGAGCTGAGGTTGTTCGCATTGAAATTGGCAACAGACACCGGGAAATGTTCGTGCGTCCGTACGTTCTGGTACGTGGTCTCCAGCTTGTGTGTCGGCGTCGAGTAGTTCTCGAACTTCGCTCCTCTGAGTCGATCGTAGCCCTCGGTTATCCGCGAGACGCTCTGTATCCCCATGGTGCCTTGGTGTCCTTTATTGTGCATGCTTATAAAGTGTATGAGGTCTAAGGAGTGCTTGTTGTGCGTAGGTTCCGTTATGGTTCTCGGCACTGCTGAGGTGGTGAGCAAGCCGTGTGACATGGAGAGCTGGGCGGCGGGCTGCGGGAGGAGGGGCTGCTGCAGCGGGGGCGCAGGATGCTGGTGCTGGTGCAGCTGCAGCTGGTGTTGGTGGAGCTGCTGTAGCTGTTGGAGAGTGGACGGCGCGTGCTGCTGGTGGCGCTGCTGGTGGCGGTGCTCCAGGTGCGTTCCCCGCGTGTCCGGCACGGGGGGAACTGCTCGGTTTAATGGAGCACTGAAACAGAATATATCTATATATTAATATGTGAAGAGAAAACTTTGTACTCCTTTTTAAGCTTATTGCGCGTACAGAGAAGAGTGAGGTTAGGCATAGTTGAAGCTAACAATATGGAGGAGTGCAGAAATCAAATATATATTTATATTAGAAATACATTAAATAAAATGTCAACACATAAATCTGTAGTCAAACAGTCGCACAAAGCAAAGATGTTCGCCACAGAATTTTAAAATTTCTTAAAAATTAATGCACCAAAAAATATTTTTTGAGGTTTTTGATAAAAAGTATCTTAGTAAGATTCTGCGAGTAGCTTGGTGGCTTGAAAATATTTAATTTTCGTCTACATGCATACTACATGCAACAAGATGTGAAATTGCAAAAGCTAGCCTGACTCAATCAATAAATCAGTAACCTACATGATTCTTATAAAAAGACTCACCTAAACCAAACCTCGATTAAGAATCAAAATGCAGTTTCACACCTGAGGATTAAGAAGGAATGCCACTACTACAATACAACGATACTATTTGACATTAGTATTCTGCTAGAGCATAGTCTTTCCGTGGTTCTAGCTTGCAAGAAGTGAGCTTATTAAAACTACTAATTGTTTGGATACTGGCAAAGTATGCAGAATATTGATTGACAACAATTTAGGAACATGTTGGGTGACAATCTTTAAAAGAAGCATACTTATTATATTCAACAGTATAAAGTTACTGTTGAATATAATAAGTAGTATATTGATCGGACAGTAAATTGAGGACCATCTGCACAATGATGAAGAACTTAAATTGGTTCGTACCTGTTCATCAACTGACGCGCGGCTTGGTTAAGTTCGACAAAGGCAATAGGGAAGATACCGACGCGTTGCTCAAGCCGCCCTTCAGCCCAATTCTCATCGACACGTCTGTGCACCGTTATTATTGCACCTGAGAAGCAAACAACATTCATTTAGACACTCAAAGTACATATATTTTAGTTACCATTGATAGGATAGTATGTATATAGTGGTAGAGACATGCTGCAGCTATATTAGTAGTATAGTTGTAGCACGAATGGGTCGGCTCGACCGGGGAAGGACCACGCTCTCACAGAATACCGGCGTAAAATAGCAGCTTCACACTGCTGTGTTTCGTATGGTGGATGTAGAGAACCAGGGACTCTTTTTACTGGAAAAGAGGCATTCCATCTTCGTCCTCACGGGTGACAACGCATTTGCATTTTGATTCTTTATTGAGGATAGATGTAGATGTATGTCTATGGGTCAAAGCAACCACTTACCATCAGGTGGACTGTGTGCTCACTTGTCACCCTATACTATAAAAAAATGTAACACTAAACCATGTGGTGGCAGTATACGTGAATTCATAACCTAGTGTCGTAAGAGTCCCATTATGGAAAATACCGGAAAAATCTTGCGTCTTCTTATAAATAGCCACTCTACAACTTATTTCAGAAAACTCTAAATTTTATTAGCAAATTGTATGTGGTTTTAGTACTTCTAATAGACACATACATCGGTAAAGCAGGGTATTCGATATTACTCCCCAGCCAATGCAGAGGTCATAAAAGCACATATAATTTGCAAATATATAATAATAATATTAGTCGAGTTTTCATAAGTAAAATTATTTCTATACATTTGAATAATACTGATTTGTAAAACGCACTTAACAAGAAACACAGGGCTTTTGTTACATGTTGTTTATTTACATTAACAAATAAAATCTAGATTTTAACACCTAGAATAAACGGATTAGTAAGCTGAAGTGGCAATGGGCCAGTCATATAGCTCGAAGAACTGACAACCGATGGGGGAAAATGGTTCTCGAGTGGCAACCTCGTGCCGGTAGGCGAAGTGTAGGGCGACCCCCCACTAGATGGAGTGAAAACCTGGTAAGATATGCAGGAAGTCGATGGATGCAGGTGGCTTAGGACCTTGCTTAGTGGCATTCCTTGGGAGTGACCTATATTCAGCAGTGGACTTGTAAAGGGCTGTAATGATGATGAACGATGAAATAATTTCAGAACTAGGTAATATAGTACCATAGAATTATCACCTGGTAGAAACGCAGTCTAGTACAAAACACGAGCGTCAGTGACTGCCTACGCTCGTCATACGCACACATACACGGCATTCTGTGATACCAGCTACTGGCGTTTGCAATCAAATTATGCAAATCAAATTTTATTGATTAATTATAGAGATAAAATAAAGATTACGTATTACGTACGATAATGATGGTACTAATATAACTTTATTATATATACAATTATAAGAGTACAAAAATGCAAACGTAATAAAATTTAAGAATATTATTTTATAAACAATTATTCGATCGAATGCAATAAATACATCGTGTTATGTTTAATTTTAACCGACTTCAAAAAAGGAGGAGGTTCACAGTAGTGTTTTTCTTTTTTATATTTGTTACCTCAGAATTCCGTAACTTATAAACTGATTTGGATTTTTTCTTATTTGAAAGAAAATATACACGTTAAAATTTTAATAGTTGATACTCGCTTTTAATTGATAGTTAATAAAACGTCTTTATACTATAGTCTAAAACTTTTACTTGGTTAATGAAGAACGCAATATAAATAAAACAGTTGCGTTAACATGGCGTAAATAGATCCTTTAAAATAGGCATGAGGCACCCATTGTTAATATTATGATAATACTTAGATAAGTAGGTATCTACATTTAAACGCTTGAGTTTTACACAGAGCGTTGCGAGTTTATAATAAATAATAGAAATTATAGATTTTTAAATGAAAATTGTGCAATGTTTTTCCTCATAACTAGCAACATTTGTATCATGATAGCTTAGGTAAATATTTTTTTTTACGAATGATTTACGTAATAATAATGAATGAAATATATTAAATTATCTCTGTAATGTAATACCATCACTTTTTTGTTTGTCATCACTGTTGTGACAATATTTTAAGTAATTTTTACAATTTGTCGCGAGCTTTTTCTTCTCCGTAAGACGCGACGATGCGCACTGAAGGATCGTTGAGTGAACTTACGCGATTTCTCGTTAGATTTACTTGCTTCACTTTTGGTGCGCATACTAGGATTGTTTACGTAATAATTCTATGTACAGTACAGTATGTACATGATACACTATAGTTGCAAATATTTTTGTTGGTTAAATATTATTATTTTTACGTGATAGAGCCACACTGCAGTATAGTAGAAATGGGTCGGATCAACTGAGTACCACCAAAACCACGCTCGTATAAAATACTAACATGAAACAGTAACATGATACTAGGTTTTTTTTCTAGTAAGCAATAAGAACCGAAGACATGCAACTAAGAATTTTTCTGGTCAAGGCATTCCATTTTAGTTCTCAAGGCTGACACTTTGCATTCTGATTCTCATTAGTGATGATTAGATGTAGGTGTCTATAGGCCACAATATCCACTTACCATCAGGTGTCATTTGTCGCCGTTCCTTGTTTAAAAACCCATCTGTTATGTTCTAACTAAAACTAAAAAAAGTAGATAGGTACACAAACAACCAATTCAATTTTACTAATTTCTTAAATTAGTATGCATATTATTGTCGTACCTTTGTCAAACGCCAAACAGCCTTCCTCGTCGGGTGCGGACATTCTGAAGTCATAGAGGGCTTTGCATAGCGCCGTGGGTACAGGCAGGGGTATTACTACCTGAGGAAATAAATTGTTATTTCTCGTTTAGCAAAATACTATTTGAATACTATTGACGAGTTATCAGTCCTTTCTGTATCCATGTTTAATATAATCGAATTAATTACTGAACACCAATGTATGTGACGAATGAAGACAAATCATTGTCACTTATCAGGTATAGTAAGCGTCGAATATGGAAAGAGCCACCAAGATCTTCTCGCTTACAACAGATAGTACTGCAACCATGACATATACTCATATAATATGCTAGGTGTAAAAGATTCAGACCAGTGATGGCGAACAGCGTCACTTATGCACCTACCAATCTATTATGTTAAATCTTTCCTTGTTGTTATGAGAGAGGAATGCTTAGAAAATATTATATTTCTTCTATTATTCTAAGTATGTATGCTTCTATTTGTCAAGGCTCTCAGGCACTATTCTTTGTCACAAATGTGACAATAGAATCTAATACGCTGTGCACTCATCAATATTTTGTACATGTTTAAATATTTAAATTATATTTATTTGTTTTCTACTGTTAGAGATTTTAAGTTTTTTAGTGGTTTTTAAATTGTGGACTCTAGTTTTAAGTATAAGAAATTAAAAATATATCGAGGACAAAGCCGGATGGACTCTTCCCTGCTCTAACTCTCTCTGAGAAGAGGTCTGGGACTAATAATACATACAGTATAATAGATAGTACATACAGTACATATTCTATATACTCACAGAATAGTGTAGAGACACTCACTATATAAAACACAACAGCATTAAGGTGTTAATTCATGCTGGTATAACCAGAGTCCCTTTTTACTGGAAAAGCGGCAGTCCATCTTAGTCCTCGAGGATGATTTTTAATTTTGATTCTTAATGGAGGATAGATGTAATGTCTATAGGCTACAAATTCCACTTACCATCAGGTGTACTGTGTGTTTGTGACACCCTTATTCTTTAAAAAAATATAGCAATTACTTCACTTTTAAAGTTAAAGTGCTCGGCACAGGTCTCCTCTCATTTCTGACAGGGTTTACTTTATTTGTATTCATATATTATTTATTATAATTGAAAATAATTATATTGCAAAAATTTATCTATAAAAAATAAGCAGTCAGTTCTTTTAATGTTTAGTACATTATCTGTAATAAGGTGTATGTAATATTTGATAACAAAATTACAAACAATATTATATCGAACCTGCACATATGTGATGGGGAACATGCCAGTCCTTCCAGAGCACTCTCCTTGGTACCAAAAAGGGTCCAATTTCTTGTGGAGTATGATTGTTTCACCTTTCTTGAACGACAGGTCACTGTAAAGCACACACATAAAATGTTATTTCATCAAATTATATAAATAAAAGAGAAAGTAACTTATTTCCACAGCATATTATAGTAAGTGTTAGGGCTACTTTCTGCCTAGAGTTCTGTCTGAGCTGGGACCACTCTTACCTACTTAACCCTCTATCAACTGTGTACCAAGTGCTGTATTTTATCCAGTTTGAAGGCAAAACAGGTACAGTGACAAAAGATTTGGGGCCTTCTGTATTTAAAGTTTATTCATCATCATGATTACAGCCCTTCACAAGTCCACTGCTCAACATAGGCCTTCCCCAAGGAATGCCACAAAACACGGTCCTGAGCCACCGGCATCCATCGACTTCCTGCATGTCTTACCATGTCGTCACTCCATCTGGTGGGGGAACGCCCTACACTTCGTACGCCGGTACGAGGCCGCCACTCGAGAACCTTTTTTCCCCATCGGTTATCGGTTCTTCGAGCTATATGGCCGGCCCATTGCCACTTCAGCTTACTAATCCGTTGGGCTATGTCGGTCACTCTGGTTCTACTGCGAATATCCTCAATTCTAAGTTTAGCACGCAGAGAAACTCCGAGCATAGCCCTCTCTATAGCTCGCTCAGCTACCTTGAGCTTCCTCATCCAGCCAGCAGTGAAGGACCATGTCTCAGTGCCATAGGTCATAACTGGCAACACGCACTGGTTGTATTTTCTCGTTTTCAAGTTTTGAGGTATACCTGACTAGAAGATGTGCCGTAATTACCCGAAAGCTGCCCAACCGAGTTGAATCCGTAGATTGACCTCTCGGTCGAAATTGGACTTACCTAGTTGGACTATTTGTCCCAGGTAAACATACTTGTCAACAACTTCGAGCTTAGTGCTCCCAACAACTACCGGCATAGGGGTGACATGGACATTAAATATGATCTTTGTTTTGTCCATGTTCATCTTAAGACCTATCTATCCACTGGGAGACACTATTGAGGTCATTGTGCATAAAGTTTATTGCAGGTGTTTAATAACTGCAGAATACACTTACTACAAGGTGGACTGTTAGCTGCATCAGAAACGGCCACTCCAATATTAAAATAATAAATATATACTATCACTTTTCTTCTCTGCCTTTTACATTTTCAATAGAAATTTAAGTTAACTTATGTACATCCCAGAGGTGACACTTTCAGTATTTTCTACTAATAGTCTTTCACCTTGTTTATACATAAAAATAAAATAAAAATGGGCCTCAGTAGAAAAATAAGTTAATTGAGACATAGTTCGATCGAACATGCTCCAATGAAATTGTTGACCATGAGGACTGAGATGGAATGTCTCATTTCCAGTAAAAAGGCTTAAGGAAACATAAATATTTCAAGGACATGTTATGTCTAAAATTAGTGGAGCCATGTTTCTAACATTGGGACGTATATAAAGAAAGAAATACACTCCTTCGGTTTATACATTATAACAAAGAAAAAATATTTAAATATTAAAAAAATTATGTAAAATGTATCAAAATGGTCTCCACTCAGCTTAGGTCACAAATTGAAGATAAATATCGACTCGTAACGCTGATTTTCAGTGGAGCCAGAAGTATTTAGGGTGTTACCAGGAAATATGACCATAACTGGATTAACTGATGATGGAGTGTATGCTGATTTATGTGGTAGAGGTAGAGACCTACAGTGCAACTGTTTTGGTGCTGCAACGCGAATGGGTACTCTCGACCGGGGTAGTACTACGTCTCACAGGAAGCAACATAAAATATCAGCATTAAACTCCTGTGTTTTTATGATGAGGCAGTATTAAAACATCATTTCATCATAGTCGTCGGGGATGACAATGTATCTGCATTTTGATTCTTAATCGAGGACAGATGAACGTGTCTATGCGCCACAGCATTCAGTTTTCATAAAGCAAAAGTTGTAAGCACTTACCCCGGCTCCTTGGATATGAAGTCGTACATGGCACGTCCGTGAGGCGGCAGTTGCTTTCCGTCCGTCCGGGCCGATAGTTGCGTCAGCGTCTGCGACTGAAATTTTTAAAATAAAATTTTTACTCCACTACTACCATCCATAGGCCGACAATGAGGGCTAATAATCTTCCACTCACCAGATGTCGCTAGCTGGGACTGAGATGAAGTTATTTGTTACACAGTGTCATCATTATTGAGAAGTAGCGTTTTAAATTTAAAAAAAAATCGATTTCTTGAGTATACCGCAAAAGAAATCCTCGGAAGTTTATTCTTAAATTGTTTGCACATTTCTCTTTTCTATTCTTTTAGTTATAGGAATATCCGTATTTTAGTCTAACCATTTCTAATCTAATCAATATGAAATAAAAAAAATATTTCAGAAAGAAACATTAACCCTTACATTTTTCTCACAAATTCTATTCCCTTGTCATGAAATTCTATCAAATATTTTACCTCATTCCTATGTAGTGCCGCCCTGGTGGCAGAAGTCGCGGAAACCCTCATTTCAACAGAATCATATTTAATTCAGAATAATTGAAAAAGTTGCAGACTTATTTGCAAATTAAAATTTCCAAAACGAAGCTTAGTTGCTGAAAGTGTTTCATGGAATATCTTAATTATTTAGTTGACACCATTATTACTACATCAATATACTATATTATGTCATCTCATAGCGTAGTGACTAAGCGTTTGGCTGCGGTTTGTCTTGCGTAGCCACGGGCGCAAATCCCGAACGGGAATGTGCTTTCATGGCCTATAGTTAATTGTTCCTCGTTCATGTATGTAAATCTTCTCTAAGATAAAGCAGAAAATCTATTGCTACTTTTTGTAGTGTCTTAAAATTTTGATTATTTTATTATTATACTAGCTGTACCCCGTGGTTTCACCCGCGTATATCACGCATCTGCGCCTCGCGACATGCATACTTTGAAAGAGACATCACTACGGACGGTTGCTGAATTAAAAAAAGATTTAAAAAGTGAAAAATGTTGCTTAAATTACATGGTTAACGTAATTGGTGGTTATGCATGGTACAGGTACTGATATAGCCTTGAATACGAACTGATTTATTTGGATATAAGGACTAATACCTAGGTACGAATAACATGGAAAAGTAGTTATTGTGACGTAACTGTAATCGTTAGACACATGGTATCACGGACTTTTTTGTAGATATTGATGTCCTGTATAAAATTGTAGCACATCACTTCGCTCTATTGTCAATAGTTTCCGCAGCGTACGCGATATAAGGATTCTTTTTGGTATTTTTTCACACCTTGGGTTACATTAACGAAGTTTTCATGCGGATCCCTAACTTTTTGAAAATATTCTATCGCCTATGTTCATCGGGGATAATGTAGGATTGTAATGGTGAAAGAATTTTTCAAATCGGTCCAGTAGTTTCGGAGCCAATTTCATTCAAACAAACAAATCTTTCCTCTTTATATTATTAATTATATATATATATATATATATACATACAAATAAGATGTCAATTTGATTGCAAGAAACTAGTCATTTACTAGTTATTTAATACAAATTTTTATGAAAAAAATTGTTTTCACAACTCATAAAAAGTAATTTTTAAATAAAACGAGTTTACTACCCTATTGATTATGAATGTATTTAGACAGAAAGCAGTTGGTCACCAACCCAATCAAAACAATTAAATGAATTCAAAGAATGAGGTGTGTTAGGATCGCACGAAATAGAAGTCCGTAACAGAGGTTAATAACTAATAGTTACTACGTTATCCGTAGTCTCTGCCTACCCCTTTGGGTGACGTGAAAAATGAAATGATATTTAAATGATAACGTATTGAACTTCCTTTATTGCTAAATATTTGTGTAGTACTTATAACTAAAATAAAGGTTTTATTCTAATTGCAGTAATCAATCGAAAGAAAAGTCAATCACCTGTGAATGCCCACTCCGCGATGTACGCTGCACAACGCTGATTTTCCTCGGCGCAGAATTCTTCATACCCTCCAGGATCCTCATGAGGAGCACGTTTGGAGGCAAGTCTTCTATCTTCGCCTCTACTAGGACACGGCATTCTGGACATCTTAACTCCTTATGCGATTCTACGATCACCTGAAAATACAAATAAAATATAATTTAAATCTTGTGTCGTCTGTAATGAATGTAGGAATTGATTTGAGCTGACACTTAAAATCTATGGCATTAAAAGAAAGGCTAAAATATAAAGTTTTGGCATTATCATCAAGTAAAGGCGAACGCTACAATCTTGATGATGATCACCGGGCGTTTAAAACGGTTGTTTAGTTGATTGCGCTTTAAAATAATTTCAGCAGAAACATACTCCACACTTTAAGACTGCTAAACTTTATCATTATTTTCCAAAACCATGTCTAAAGCATCTTAATTGTGTTTAGCATACCTTAATTTCGTAAAAAATATTTAATTGCATAAGCGAGCATGCCCGCTTATGCAATTACTAGAAATATATTAGATATTCTAGAATTTTTTTAAGGATGGGATGAAAATATTTTCATTCAATACATATCATTTCGTAATACTATTTGAAAGCTTTATTATTTACGTGTTACGTTGTACGTATAATATTATGTTAAACAATTCGGCCCCGTGAAGCAAAGAACCCTGCGGTATTTATTTACTAAATGTTTAGAATAATACATTATAAATGTATAAAAATAAAGGAATGAAGAATTATTTTAGATATAGCATGGTAGCGATCACCTTTCACTTTCCGCATATCGTCCCGCGGATGTTGTAAGAGGCGACAGAAGGAAACAAACCATGAGATTGGCAGATTTGATATATTGAAATGTATGAATTAATGAATGCATGTATTCCTTAATATTATAATAACTCTGTTTATACAGAATGAAGATTTTTCACATGACTATAAACGTAACTGGCTACCTACTGAAGTACGAGTACTCGTATGAACGACAACTATTTGTATCAATTGTTAACAAGAATTCTTGGAAGGAAGCGTAATACAAAACTAAATAATATGACAGACATTCATTTCATCATCATTACAGCCCTTCACAAGTCCACTGCTGAACATAGGCCTCCCCCAAAGAATGCCACAAAGCACGGTCCTGAGCCACCTGCATCCATCGACTTCCTGCATGTCTTACCAGGTCGTCACTCCATCTCGTGGGGGGACGCCCTACACTTCGCCTACCGGTACGAGGCTGCCACTCGAGAACCTTTCTTCCCCATCGGTTGTCGGTTCTTCGAGCTATATGGCCGGCCCACTGCCACTTCAGCTTACTAATTCGTTGGGCTATGTCGGTTATTCTGGTTCTACTGCGGATATCCTCATTCCTAAGTTTATCACGCAGAGAAACTCCGAGCATAGCCCTCTCCATAGCTCGCTGAGCGACCTTGAGCTTCCTCATACGGCCAGCAGTGAAGGACCACGTCTCAGTTCCGTAAGTCATCACTGGCAACACGCACTGGTTGTACAATTTCGTTTTAAGGTTTTGAGGTATGTCTGACGAGAAGATGTGTCGTAGCTTCCCGAACGCTGCCCAGCCGAGTTGAATCCGTCGATTGACCTCTCGGTCGAAGTTGGACTTACCTAGTCGGACTATTTGTCCCAGGTAAACATACTCGTCAACAACTTCGAGCTTAGTGCTCCCAACAACTACCGGCACAGGTGTGACATGGACATTAAACATAATCTTTGTTTTGTCCATGTTCATCTTAAGACCTATCCGTTGGGAAACACTATTGAGGTCATTGAGCATAGTGCTTAGGCCCTCCAGCGATTCTGCCATAAGGACTATATCGTCGGCAAATCGAAGGTGAGTGATGTACTCGCCATTGATGTTGATACCGTACCCTTTCCAGTCCAGAAGCTTGAAAACGTCTTCCAATGCAGCGGTGAAGAGTTTCGGGGATATGACGTCACCCTGTCTTACACCTCTCTGCAATTGGATAGGTTTCGTACTCTGGTTCTGTACTCGGATAGCCATCGTAGCCCTACTGTACAAGCACTTCAACACTTCGATATACCGACAGTCAACTTGGCACCGCTGAAGGGACTGCAGCACCGCCCAAATTTCGACGGAATCAAAGGCTTTCTCATAGTCCACATACGCCAGACAAACAAACGAGCTAAAACCCTTTCGGAAACCGGCTTGTTCGGGAGGCTGGAAGTCGTCAAGTCTGCGCGCGAGACGATTCGTAATGACTCTCGAAAACAGCACGTAGACGCGGCTCAGAAGGGAAATCGGTCTGTAGTTCTTCAAGAGAGCGTTGTCACCTTTCTTGAAGAACAAGACCACCGCACTTCTGCTCCACGCCTCCGGTGTAATGCCACCATGGAGGACGGAATTAAAGAGCTTCTGAAGGACTTCAAGTACCGGTCTTCCACCCGCTTTCAGAAGCTCCGCTGTAATTCCATCCTCGCCTGGGGCCTTACCGTTTTTAAGGTGCTGGAGAGCCATTCTAATCTCGCTCAGACTGACGTCCGGGATATCTTCGGAATAGTGTCGGATGAGACTCGCTCTTGGATCGTTACTCACACTTGCGTGTGGCTCCAACGATGACGTGTACAGCTGCCCATAGAACCTCTCAATCTCACTCAAAATCTCAGGTGTCCCGGAAACGATGCTGCCACATTCTGTCTTCAGCTTTGACAGTTGGCTCTTTCTGGCAGACAGATCTCTGGCAAAGACTTTGGAGCCTTGGTTCCGCTCGATCGCTTCTTCAATACGAGCTGTATTGAAGTTGCGTAAGTCCCGCCGCATGCATTTTGAGATCTGTCTGTTCAGATGCCTGTATGCTGTCAAGTCTGTTGAAGAATTTAGCTTCATCTCCCGTCTAACAGCCATGAGATTAAGAGTGTGATCGGAGAGTTTTTGTGTTCTTCTGCGGCGGGTCTTGCAGAACTTAGCTCCGACCACATGGACAGTTTCCACGAGCTTGTCATTCATATCGTCCACTTCATTGCAGTCTTCTAGGCACTGAAAACGGTTTTGCAACTCGAGCTGAAAGGTTTCGGGACTTTGGATTAGAGCACGAGGGGGACGGAGCGTTGACTTCATTAGACGAGACCTCTCCAACTTAACGTTTAGGTTCAGTGTGCCTCTAACCATTCGGTGATCGCTACCAGTTTTCACCCTTGCGATCACGGAGACATCACTGAACAGTTGTCGTCTGGTCGTCATAATGAAGTCAATCTCATTTTTTGTCGAACCGTCGGGGCTCGACCAGGTCCACTTCCTGTGGGGCCGCTTCTGGAAGAAAGAGTTCATCATAAAGAGTCCCTCTTTCTCCATGAAGTCGGCCAGCTGCTGGCCCCTTGGGTTCCGTTGCCCTATTCCAAATTTCCCTACTTTCAGCTCACCGTTCTCTCTTGTGCCTAGTTTTGCATTGAAGTCTCCCATTAACACCGTATATTGGGTTTTGGAGGAATGCATGGCTCTAGAGATATCCTCATACATTTCCTCCACCTCCTGATCAGGGTGTGCCGAGGTTGGTGCGTAAACCTGTATGACCTTCAGCGAATACCGTTTGGTGATTCTGAGTATAAGGTACGCAACCCTCGTGACAGACATTAGGACCGTTTAATTACTTAAGGAGGCAGCTCAGTATTCTTATCTCGTGTAACAGTTGTGTTACATAATTTTTTTATTTAGAAAGTGAACTAAACTCTACAGTCATCTTCATCAACAATTAAAAGTGACAATAATATTATTAAAGTTAGAAAAAAATTTACAACACGCATTTAATCATGAGCTGAGGTGAACCTAGAGGTAAGGTACTAGGTTATAATCATGAGATTATTGTATAGTCATTGGTTTTTTAATATTACATCTGCAACGTGTAGTGGCGGTGTAATATCCACTCCCCAATATCGTTCAGTTCTTCAGTTGGTGTCGTAAGAGGCGACAGAGGAAAACTGAAACAGGACACCAGCATCAGAATCTTCTGATGTGATCCAGCTATGGCAATATCCCGGCTATAAGCCAATCTATGGGGGTTAAGCAGTAGACTTTCATAGGTGTTGTGGTTAGATGGATGAATACGTCTGCAAAATTTATACACACATATATATAAAGGTCGAGCTAATATAAAGCACGTAAAAACCTAATCATCTTTTAATATAGAATAAGGGTAACAAACGAGCACACAGTTTACCTGATGGTAAGTGAATGCTCTGGCTCATATACATTCTGCATTTATCCTCAATTAAGAATCAAAATGCAGGTGCGCTGCCCCCCTCAGGACTAAGGTGGAATGCCTAGCTTCCAGTAAAAAGGGTCTCAGGTTCTTCACCATACGAAATTGATTGTGTTTTATTAATAAGCTGCTATATTTTTCACTAAAACCACATTTTTCTGTAAAATAGCAATTAATCGATTTAAAAAAATATATTAATAAGTTCAACAATCATTTATCTTTCTGAAAATGTGCTTTTTATATCATTGTTCAATATTACGATTGTTAGATACGATTTTATGCGAGAAAACGTTGGAATCTTGATTTTTAGGCGCTAGTAGAACATACATACGCGTTTTGCGCTTAAGGCATGTAAAATATATTTAACAGTAAGGAAATAATGTTTTTAAAAAGATACCGCACTGGTGAATTGTACCTACCTGTGCGAAGCTGATCCGAGTCGCTACATATTAATATATGATAGATAAAAAAGGTTTGGAGCCGAACTATCCAACTTGTAAGAACCGTGATTGAGCTCGCTATAACAAAGGTGCAAACAAGCTATCTTTATTTAAAAACGTTAACTTAGTTATTCAAGTTTATTCATAAGGGCGACGGTGATGTAAAACTTTTCCGAGAAAACCGGCGGGCTGAATAATATAAAAAGAACGTCGGTCAGTATTGTTTGTTTTTATTTGGCTGCTACAATGACTTAATTTAAATAACTATTATATTTTATGTAAACTGACCCGCAGACGTTGTTCCGACCTATCCGGTAGGTGGGGCGATAAATTACACTCCAAATTCAATTACTGTAAATAAAAAAATACTAATCTCTCGCCAACAGTGTCAGCTATTGAGTTCAGATTTTATGATTTTTTTGCTACTAAATATGAATATGAGTCATTTTAGTAGTCTTATACATATAT